TTTTGCCATCAGACCTGGCCTTCCCCAACGAAATACTGGGCAAACATATCTCGGCAAGATACTGGACGTCTTGTGTTTCTTGTGTGATCTCGTGACGTCTCAAGTGATGTTGTAAAATAATGCAAAGTGTCTTCATATCTGATGCCATCTCTGGTGCGAACGAAGTTATGTAAAACACAGCATGCCTTCACTATATCGATTGCAAAATCAATATCTACGTCCAATAGGCAATGGAAAATTCGCCACTTATTAGCTAAAATGCCGAACGTGCACTCGATGTACCTTCGAATTCGGCTTAGCCTATATTTGAATACTTTCCTCTCGAGGCTTAAATTGTTGCCGGGATATGGACGCATCAGGTTTCCCGAGAGAGGGAATGCCTTGTCACTAACAAATACATATGGCATAGGTGTAGTATTGGTTGTAGATCATACATTCATCAGTAATCTGTCAAGACGACAGGTCCACAGTCTCTTTCAAAACAGTTCCTCCACTTGACGCGATCTAGAGCTTTCGCCTTCAAATAAGAATATCCTCTTCTGTCCCCAAGGTCATCCAGCATCTTCTTACGTCTTCTTCCTCGTCTTCTGGTAACTTCTATCCGCCCCTCTATATCTTTTAGATATTGGAGACTTATCAGGGATTTGAAGTTCCTCGTTGACAAGTTTTTGATAAATAGCGGAATCTTCGAAAATTGAAGAATCGCTACACTTTTCGTATGCTCCAACATCAGTGCTGATGAACTTGTATTCTGCATCACAGACCGCAAGTAACGCAGTAGAAAAATATCTCTTGTAGTTATAATACAGTGATCCCCTGTGAGGTGGCTGATTGACTCTTATATATTTCCGGTCAACAGCACCTGTGCAGTTCGGAAACTGTGCTTGCTTTTCGAACGTTTCCGCAATACTTTTCCATTCCTCCTCTGTAGGTTCCCGTAAACATACATATTTCACTTTGGTCCATATGGCAGAACAAAGCTGTCTTATTATTATTCTGAAATAGTCTTTCCAAGTCCAAAATTATGGGAAAACTCAGCAAAACTTAATCCCGTGGCTAGAAACCTGAAAAATATTTTGTTTTGTTATATTCAGGTGTACAGCTGCAAAAGCAATGGAAGAACATAAGAGACAGTTATTTTAGGACGGTTAAAGAACATACGAAGTGATATCGCGCCCCCCCCCAAAAGGAATTCGTACATATGTTTTCACCAGTTTCACTTTCTGAAGTTGGTAGCAGAAAGTAGTCCATCCGCTTCGAATGTTGAGCGTCCTACTGAGCCAGAGGCAGCAGAGACTTCAGATACTCAAACGTCTCAAACCTACCGCCACCCTCAAAAGGAAAACGCACTGAATATCATATTGGTTTGGAAATGGTTAATATTTTGAAATCAAGTCTCCAAACAAGAGAAGAAAGAGAACCCAATATCTCTGATAAATTATTTCTGTGGTCACTTGTGGATGACTTAAAAAAAATACTCCAAAAGTAGGCCAAATATTGAAATGATCAATTTGATTCAGAGTTATCAACTTCAACCTGTTTTCTCCGCATACCATTCACAAAATGAGATGGGCTGCCTTCGACAGTGCTGCTACCCCCAGCTCATGGCACAATCAGCAACATGGTTATTATTCTGCCTTACATCAGACAACTCCTTCGAGCATTCTGCTGTATCTCCGGAAACTCTGTCACAGGATTCAGACACTGTGGAGTTATTTAACTAAATAATTAACAATTGATATGTGATTACTGAAATACATTTTGCATACCTTAAAATGATCATCAGTTATTATTCAGGGCGTATGCTCTGGCGAAAATTTGTACCCATTCCTTCTATTTCCTCCTTGACAAGTTGCAACACTCATTCTTGTGTAGTTGGAAAATTTGTCGTCGTGTTTGCGTAAAACCTCGAACAGCAGATGGAATGCACCTTTTTTTGGAATGTTCCATGAACATGGGATGTATCCAATATCGTCGATTTTGCTTTTTCCGACGACAGACATGATAGAACAGTAGGGCTCCTATCTCTTCAACCTCCATTTAACTACTGATAAATATGTCTTGTCGCGCGTTGTCGCCTGTGTAAATAAACCGCGCGCGGCCAGCCGCACGCGGCTTGTCGCGTCAGTGGATCCCTAGCCCTATAGACTACCTATCCGTTTCCCGGTGGCAGCTTCCAACGGCGAACCTTCCCCCTTACCGTGGGTTCCCGCAATCTCCCAGCCCTAGCTACAGCAACTCTCGAATAACTGACTCTCACTAATATCTCTTTACGGACTGCGCAGAAAACAACTTTCCTCTGTTGCTGTTTCAATTGCTACCTTGCTAACATGCTTTGCGAAGTCGTTACTCAGTAACGGCTGTTGTATAGCTGTTTCTTTCGCGGTCATTGCAACAGGTCGACATGCCACAATATGTTCATTACAGAATGTATTACTTTCCACACATTTATATTAAATCTGGGCAACTGAATAAAATTATTCCATAACTGTGTCGTTTCTAACATCGCATCATCTATTCACTAAATTACATTTCGTGGAACTAAATTTTTTAGAATTTATGTGAATATTTTCATGATAAAAGTTTCTGATCAGGAAACTTCTCAACCATTCGAAATTATCATTGATAAAATCTTCACATACAAAAACCGCTCAGCATATATTAAACAAAGAATATATTAAATTAAAAATAATAATGCCAGTGAAAAATTAATTCCATGACTTTAGTCCGCAAGCGAACTATACCAAAAGAGTCATCGTCGCTTGTGAGCGAAATTAGTGCTGACTTTAGCTGATAGAGGATGTAGCGTGGTCAGCGCAACAAATCCCCACGGCCGTTAATTTCGGTTTTCTAGACCCGAGCCTCTATTCTTCTATTCAAGTAGCTCCTCAATTTTCAAAAATAGTAATGTCACATTGTAAAACTCGTTTATTGTATTGACTGGTTTATCAGGTGAAGGAAGAGGTACTGGGATGCGTTTTCTCCGAGTTCTGTTTTGCACTGTAAATTCTTATTTCACCAACTGCTTCATAATCGTCCAACCTATAACCAAAGCTGTTTAGACTCAGTATTAATAGCGTCATCCAATAACCAACATAAAAGAAATAAAATGTACTATTTGGCACAATGTGGATCTACATTTAACATCGACAAGTATAAATTGTTATATTAGTCTCTACTAATTTTAGGGAATATAGAATATATAACCACATTGCTGCATTTCTATCACTTTTACACAAATTGTTACCTAAACGATAACCGTCCCTCCACTGATGACCGCTAGCTGTTTTGCCAAGTGTTTTGGGGCTACTTGAGGTAACTAAGCCCACCTGTGTCGCGACGATCCTCACCCCTCACTGCTCCCCTCCTTCACCTCGGCTACCTCCAGCTCTCTCCTTCTTAGCACTCGGACCGCCTTCCGCAAACTCTCTGTGGAACGAGTAGGTTAACCTGGGATGCAGTGAGTGAAATTTGGGCACCAGCAAGCGTACGTCAGTAGCTCACAGCTGAAGGATAACCGAGCAGGTGAGTCTTGACTCCGGCCGGCTTTCTCAGGGAGAGATCGACTCCGTCTCAAGGCGTATCGGACCTCACTCCGGTAGGACAGGAAGAAGATGGTGTTCACCAATTTCACGAACACTGGCTACAGCACTACGTTTAATTATATCTTTATTGAACTTATAATTCTTGTAATGTTTGGCAAATCGTGGAGGTCGGGACACTGTTTCGCGTCTGTATCACTTTGGTTCTCGGAGACGAATGTTTGAGAAAAGGGTTCTCCCAAGTTACAAATTCTCTGAGCCCAAACTTCCACACGGAAGCTCCTCCTTATCCCTTGCCTTATTGGCCCAGTTCCGCTTTTGGGAGTTTTCATGAAATTGGCATCCACAAATCAAAATTATTTAGTTTTTAATTATTTGATAGTCTCTTTGGCGGCTTGGTGAAAAATTCCCGTCCGTAGCGTGGGTGTTTGAACCCTCTACCGCTTGAATGTTAGTGACATTAACAATACAATACGGTCCTGGTTTTACAGCTTTATTCGGGAAGGGTAGCGATTGCTGCATCCTGTCCTTTCATAAATGAAGACCCCTTGTCGCTTCTTAATGTATAGACGGAAGGTCCCATACTGTTCACTTCTTAACACAACAGTGGGACTACGTGCTACGTCTTAAATATAATTTATACTTAAATGAACGGTTACAAAACCGATGAGTCTGCTTTTGCCATGCGTAAATAAGTATAGATCTTGGGTTCGCCGTTTCATTATGATAACGAAATTCAGTAATAAACCATTCATGCTTTTCGAAGTAATCTCGTAATGCATAGCTCTCACATAACCCATATAATATTTATGGTACTTACTATTGTCTGCTAAAATAATCCTTATGTCAATCCATAAGGTAGGCGCCATTATTTTATGGCAATGACGGATCATGAACTGCTAAAGTAACTGAGGTAGTGCAATGCAAACTGCGCAATATGTTAAGAAAATCCGCCTAAATTTCTGTTTATAAATTTACGTACTATATTTATTTTCGTTCCCACAAATCTCAAATTGCGTTATAAGTTCTTTCCTTTTCTTTCGATTTTTGTCTATGGCTGTACAGCCCTTTAGACCATGGTCGCTTTTTCGGTTTCTTAATCCTCTATACAGTAGGTAAGGCTCCTTGAACTGGGGATCAGCCTGTCGCATAGCCGCTACCTACAGAGAACAATATAAACACGGAATAAACGCACACAGACATCCATGCCTCGAGTCTGACACGAACCCACGACCCCAGTGTTCGAAGGGCAAACACATTTCATGCCTTAGACCGCGTGGCTACTGTGATCAGCTAGTTTATTCTTTTGATGCAAAAAGAAGAGCCTACACTCACAGTTATGATTTGAACTGAGAGGAACAGGATATTAGTTCAAAATTCTTAAACCAATAAACTAAAACAGTTCACTCTAGAAAGAAGCATTTATTTACAACAGATACAGTTTAAACATGCCTAACACTAACAAGACAAAAACAAACACGTATAATGAGCTTGATGATATTTACTTGTGAAGATGTTTTGACGTAACAACTTTAAGAGAGGATTAGTGGTATGCGTAGCTAGGAGCTGAGTGGGTATAAAGAGGGGCTGCGTGCGAGTAGGTGATTGGTGCGGCCAGAACTTTCTTCACAGGGACAACAACTTTCTTCAGAACGGGAGCAGGATGGGTCGCATGTCCAGACTTCTCCACGACAGCGTTGAACCCTGTGTGTTTGTCGGCCGTGTAGTGCACGGTACGGATTGTACCGTCAGGTTCAACAAGCTTGTAGTAGCCTTCCACTCTATCTCCATCACGCTTCTCAGCCTGCTCCTTAATGTCACCAGTGTGATCATCTTTCACTCCGTATTTGAACTCGTAGTGAGGAGGAGCCTGGAATTAATCAAAAATATTTTTTTGTCAAATAATGGAAAAGATGGGATCTGGGAGAGCGTGGTCTGTACAGCGATTGGTTACGAACTGGACTACCGAGAGGTTGGACTTTGAATCCCGGTAGGGTCAAGAATGTTCTCTTCTCCACTTCGGCCAGACCTGCCCTGGGGTCAACCCAATCTATTCAATGGGTATCGAGGGCTCTTTCCCAGGGGGTAAAGTGGCCGGGCCGTGAAACTGACCACTCGCCTTCAACTAGTGCCGATCTCAAGAAAATGTGAATTTATATATCCACTTCCCCACAAGCCTCCATGGAGTAGTGTTTAATTAGTTAAGCAGAGGGAAATTTTACTTTAATTTTTAATTAATGGAAATGATTGGGGCATGTAGCACTGATGGGAGAGTTAAGAAGTACATACAAGTTTTCTGAAAGGAACCTGGGAGGAAGAGGCTTCTTAGAAAACCCAAGGGGTTCGTATGGATAACACTATTATAATAATACACTACGAATAATTATTCGTATAATGGCTCGTAGGAAAATAGTTCAGAAGATTGTGGACTGAATGCATCTGTCTGAGGAAGCGCCCAGTTGCGGACACCTGTCAACACGGAAATGGGCCTTCAGGTTCCAACAACGGCGAGAAATTCTTGGCTAGCTGAGCGACTGTTAGCTTCTCAAACATGATTCTGATCCATGGAGTAAGTAATGTCACACAGGAGTATAAATTATGAGAATTCTGGTATTTGTTACAGTTTTGTGGGTTGAAACTTGCGGTGGGGATATGTGCTCTTATGTAAGCCACTGAAGTGTCACTTTAATCCGTATTTCGGTTCTTTACGCCTTTAACCAGTCTTTCTAGGACGAAATTATTTATATTAAGTTGTGTGAAATTTATTTTCAAAATTTCCTGTCTATTTGTACACTAGGCCAATTTTGTTTTCTGTTTTTTATAGTTTTTGCCGAATTCTCTGCTAAATTTTGATAAATATTGAAATTATTGGGTTTAATTTTGACTACCAACTATTCGTGACCCTGTAACATATTTATTCGGTAATTCACACAAGTAACAGTGCGATAGATTTTTTTTTTCATATGGGGTTTGTGCACTGTCTGTGGTTTTAATAGTTTCTATAATTCCCTTCAATCTACTAGCTTTTCGCTGATGTGAAACTCGCCTTGTTAAAAGAACTAAGTTTCTGGACCGAGGTGTGTTTCTCGAGAAGCTTGTAATCGCTCACTTGGTCAACAGGGTCACAGCCAGCTCTGCATTCCGAAAGTTCATTACCGTGTTCTCAAAATTCCGCCACTAGACAGCAAGTTGAGCCAGCTTAATACAGTTAGCACATCAACTCTATTGTTCTAACATTAATTTTAACATGTGCCTCCCATCTATGTCCCTGTTTCTCAAGTAGGCCTTTACGTTCAGAGTCTCCAATCCCATATCATCCTGTCTGATAAGAAACATCCAAATATTATTTGATGGAGAAAAATAATTATGGACTTCCCGTTCTTCAGCATTATTCGTCCCCTGTGTTAGGTCTAAATGCCTTCCAGAGCACCCTAATCACAAAATAACTTACCCTGCATATTTTCAGTCTGCAGCAGCTACATTCATGTGAGGCTAGTAGAGACTTGAGCTATACAAGTTAATCCTTTTAAATTCAAGTGCCTTTTTCTGACAATGTCTTTAGTCGAAGATTCCATAGAGTCGCCATAACTTACAGGATAATATTTTCGTATTATGTGACGATCTATAATAGCATACATACGACTAATATCACAGCAGTAACATTAACCATAAAGGAACTTCCTTATAAAAGTAGAGTTGTCCCTGTGCTTAACTAATTAAGAACTATTCCAAGAAGGCGTATGGGGGGTGTATTTATAGATCCACATTTTCTGGACCTTGGAGTTGGAGGTGAGTGTTCGGCTTCATCCTCCTGCGTAAATAGTCCCCGGTACCCATTGGATAGGAGGTCGGGTGGACCCCAGAGCCGGCCTGGATGACGTGGAGAAGGGCCATAGAAATCTAATTAAACTTATGAGGCAATTTAATACAGAGTGCTTATATTATATTATTATCTTTGTATCATTCTTATCAATGAACGCTTTCAAAGGGATTTCACAAGCATATTTACCATACATGGCATTCTTTGTGCCTAAGATGCAAGCCAAATGTCTAACACTTATAACCTACTTCATGTTTCCTGATCAGACATTCTAACATCTGTTCAGAATTAATCCAAAAATATTGATTTTTTTTTTTTTAATTTTGCGAGACCGTTCAAGAGAAGATGACCCTTTCTCGAAGTTTCTACACGCTTACAGCAATACAGTATACAGACTGACCGTCATATAACGATCCGTCGAGTAAGATTTGTTCCATTGTCCCAGTCTTCGAGGGGTCCAAAACCGTTCACACTTTAACTGTGCCGTCACTGGGATCCCTAACTAAATATTCTGGATTTTATTTAGACCTAATTAATCAGAATACTTTAGGAATATATTGTGTAGTTTCTCGCTTCGCAACTGTCACATTTTCCACTTAAAATGTCCCTTATTAAGGAAGAAGTTAGACTTTTACGACATGACTGTGTTGTCTGTAAGGAACACTGTAAATAGCAAGTACAAATATGGCGGCCTTGGATTTGTCTCCTAAATATGAGCAATAGAATCAGTACTGAAGAAACAGGTGCCTTTTTTACAGAAGAGAAAATACTACTATTACTACTACTATTGCTCTTCATCATGGGGACATGCGGTAGCGTAGTTGGTTTGGGCGGTATGCTACAAGCCGGAAGGTGGCTGATTCAATTACCGATGTCACTATCTACTTATCCACTAACAGAAATGAGTACCAGAAATCTTAGTGGGGGTGAAAGGCGGTCGGAGTGCGAGGGTTACCATCTCACATTCATCTGAGAACCGATTGTCTAGAAAATGTGGGACCTTCAACGTCTCACAAACCTATAGGTCTTCACGCCCTTTAAATTTATTATATTATTCTTCATCATAATCATAACAAAAACAATAATTTGGAACATGTTTACATTTGCAAGTAATAGAGATTATCTCTAATAATATTTGATCATATGACCATCCATGCATGAGTTAGGAGCTCTAGACCACAAACTAAATTTAATAATCGATTTGTTGCATTCACGTAGCCAAAATGTGACCTCAGTAAGTTTGGAGGTAACATGCCTCAATCGTGTTGAGGCAGGAGACTTACGTAGTGTTCGACTTCGACGGCTTCATGATGAGCAACTGCAACAGGTCGGGCAAGGGTCACAGGCGCGTGAGCTACCCCTATCTTAACTGGAGCATAGTGGTGAAGTACTGAGACAGGCGTAGCCAGCGTGGAGGCCGTCAGAGTGGCCAGCAAAGTGACGATCTGAAACAAATAGCAATAACTGGCTCATGAACTGTTTTCTTCCCGCCGCTAAGTAGACAGACTGATACTCGTGTTAACAGTTTGCTCCAACATACACAGCCCGTTCTCAGCCAGATGAATCCAATCCATTCCCCCCAATTTGTCAATTATAGGGCGAAGAAAATGCTTCAGAATTTGCAAATTTACACAAAGAATCTCGACGAAATGAAGGACAGTATAAGAACTATTTTTTTGCCAATACTCTTCGATGTTTTCTGTAAATCATGACTCTGTTATGAGTTGACTTGTAATACGTGCAGAGGTCCTCGTTTATAGTGAAAGTTAAAAGGTAAAGTTGTCTCTGCGCTTAACTGATTAAGCACTACGCAGTAAAGCAGTATGGAGGAGTGATATACAGATCCAAATCTTCCTTGATCTCGGCACTAGGTGGAAGTGAGTGCTCAGCTTCACGCTACGGCAGCTCTGTCCCCGGAGAAAAATCCCCATTACTCATTGGATAGGAAGTTGTATGGACGATATGGAGAAGAGAAATTTCTTGACCCTAGCGGAACTCGAACCCGTTCAGCCAGTAGCCGGTCGCTATACCGACTGCGCTATCCCGGCTCCTCCCCGTTTAGAATTCCTTACATTACTAAGAAACATAAATATTACTATGCCATATTTTCCTCATTCCACTAACCTAACACCAAGGACGCAACGTCGCCTGTGTATTAGAATTCGCCCTTTTTTGGTGATGTTGCAAAATCGGTAATGTCGCCATGCCCAGAGCACAGGATGAGCTTTGTGTATCTCTCCTGCAAATTCTGTGTCCTATCATCCCCTAAGTGCAATCACTGTAAGCACCCCGAATAGTGCACGGAACGCATACAAGCACAGTTGTCCTCAGTACGACAACCCTACTACGGTGGTAAGTCATTACACTGATTGAAGCTTCGTAAACGCACCATATAGCAGAATAATGAAGTGAAAGAATAATATGAATGCCGGGTCAAAGAGGAATCAGGGATAACGTGATTTCCAACAAGCTGGCAAATGCCTGAAATGGTGTGTGGCACCTCAGGAAAAGTTGCCAAGGGAGGATGCCAGGGACTGGACAGACTAAACCCTGGAGGTAGATAGAGGAACAATAACATGCTAAGGCCTTCCTTCAAGGGCCCTCTGCAAAAAGAACTAGAAAAGTCTTAGAATTAAATATGAACCAACTGGTGTTTGACGGGACTATATGAAAGACAGTGTCACTTGAAAGAATATTGTGACGTATAGATCCATTACTAGGTAACGACTCGGTAAACACATTCTCTCGCAAGCGTAAGTGCCCAACAATAGGGCTTCTACTGCTAGGCAATTGAGCTGTAAATAAGTCTCATCAACAACAAAGGCTGTATTTTCTGCGTGGTCCGTGCAGAGTCGTTACAAAGAAATGTTCGGCAGTATAGAGGAATATAGAGCGGACTAGAATAGTAGGGGGAAGTGAAGAGTCTAGTTTCGGGTCACAGACTTGCTAGGATATGAGCTTTGGAGCAGATGAATGGAATTGTATTGAACCTTCCAAATTGGCAGTTGCAGAATAGTGGTAGGAAATTAATTAGACTTTGCAGAAAAGACTTCATGTGCTATTTACAGTGAGACTGGTATAACAATTGCGTGGAAACCCGATTTCAGGTTACGAATACTGAAGACTGAGAACCTTAGTGCGTGCAACGGTGAGCTCAGTTTGTGCAGAATATCGATAGATTGCCTGTAGCCCCGAGTTGTGAGTGTATAAAGTGAAATAAATCCAAATATCTAATACATAACCCCGTCTATAATCACCCCCACATGTGAAATTATCTTACCAAACTGGGATTAGTAAAAATTTATACTTTGAAATGTTCCAGAACAACAATAAAACAGCCTCAAACTTCTCTGTGACTGTGAGGTCTTCGCTAACTTAAGATTTCTTCATTTAGGACTTCAGTTCATGAAAACAAGTGAATATGCAAACATCCCCATTAAACTATGTACTGGACTTCAGCCGGTGAGCGGGACTGCTAGAGTTCAAGCACACGGATACACAGGAGGCTAAAGAGCGGTCACAGCGTAAAGGTTCGGCCACACAGAGCGCTACGTACGCGACGCACGCTAGTACACCATGTTCGCTATACGAACAGAAAAATATCTCCCTTTATTTTCAATATGACTGACCACACAGACTTCCGTACGCTACGTACGGTATGTTCCCTATGTTATCTGCGTCACAGAGTGTACTCAGAGTACGTAGCGTACGTAGCGAAAATAGCGTAGCGCTCTGTGTGGACGAAGCTTAAGTATCGGTATGACCACCCTTGAATGAATCAGTATGATACTGGCAATGTGGGGTAAGCCGGTAAGTAGTGGACAGTGCCATGCCATGGTAGCGTTTGTGGCTTGGGAAGGCACATGTTAGCCCTCGCACGTGAGCAAACAGTATATTTAGACGTTTTGGAGTGCAGGAAAATGAGAACAATTTCAAACATATCCCGTTTTTAAATCCATAGAGAATAATGTAAATTAATAATTTATCGTCGCTTCTCTGATATTCGTAATGTGCGGGATTCTTTTCATCCAATGAAGCGAGAGCTGTCGGCCTCGGTAACTGCAAAAATGGACGCGGTCTTCCAGGCATTAAAAATGAATGTAACTGCAAGCTATAGGAATAGCATTATTCCAAATTCAGGCTATTTCCATAGATATATGACCGAGGATATTCCAACCTGTTTGCTTAATTATTTATATCCACATTAAGTACAATTCATTTATAATAATTTCTCCCCTTTTTAACAACGAAGTTCTCACATCGTGGTTATGAAGAGCTCAGTTTCTCTGTTACAATGTAGTATAATTCGGTGAAAGTCCACCGACGTTTCATAGGAATATTTTTTTCTCAATGGCTCTTTCAGCCTATTTAGGGCCTATGCCTCTTATTCAGTTCCGTAATCATTTTTCACAGACGGTAGGACTCTACCTAGACACAAGACAACGCGAACACAGAATAAACGCATACACACATCAAACATTCATGCGTTTAATGGGATTCGAACCCACGTTCCCAGGGTCCGAGAGAGCGAAGACAGTTCATGCCTTAAACCTCGCAGTTACTGTAACTGACTTCATAGGAATATGACGTCCCCGCATTCATGGTAGAAGCGTAAGCCAAACAAGAAACCAGGATGAAGTGATAGTCACTCCTGAAGATGAAGGTGATATATTACTCCGAAACGTAATTTGACCAAATTAACCGGAACTCATTTCCTTCTAGTCATCCGGTCTACTCTGTTGTGATTATGGACCATATCTCTAGCTCCGTCCTGTTATTTTAACCCTTTTCATAACAGTTTCATTTTACATAATTATTCGTAAGTTCTAACCTATGCTCTGTCAACTGGATATTTTATATGACATGTAACGAAATGAGAAGATAGTTGTGTACGGCAAACTGGGAAAGTTTGGAATGAAGAAGCCATGATCTACTTCAAAACATTACCCTGGAGATTGGCAGTAAGGTCTCGGGAAAGCCTAAAGCTATATCAACCCAAACAGATACTGTTCCTGTCAAAGTCTTAGCCAGAAGGCTTCCAAATTCCTGTTGATGTGCAATAAATTTATCCGCTATTAAAAGTACCTCATAAATTATTTTTCTTATTTTCCTACCTTAAGGAAAATACACTTATAATATCACCATGCTGTCATTACCTACACTCTTCAGATGAATGTACATTAAATAACCGATTAACCAATTAAATTTCTGATAATTGGAACCATAGTTTCTAGCACTTGATAACACAAAGCCAGCTGCTACAACTGAATATTATTCACTTCATCTGATGTCCCCCATTACATGATTATATTACAAATATTTTAATAATAACCTCCGTTCAGATTAACCGTTGTTATTTGTATTGGATAGGGTCTGAATCTGTGTGTATGTCCTCTTGAATCTGGTCTTCAAAAGACTAGGAAATAAACGGTTGACATTTATATAAAAAGAAGAATTCTTCTGTTCAGCTACTTAATATGCCGCATTAAAAAATCAAGAATGATATTTCTAGGGCTCCGTGAATCATTCGCAAATGCAAGGATCGCCATACTCTGGAATATGGCTCATAACATCTAATCTCTTTCAGTTTCAAAGAGTAACCAACCAGTATGACTGAATTCGTACCGGTCACGGTAGGCGAGCGGTCTAAGGCATGCACTGTCTTCGCTCGCTCGGAAGCTGGGATCGTGGGTTCGAATCCCACTAAGGGCATGGATGTTTGTGTGCGTTTTTCTGTGTTTGTGTACAGGCAGAGGCCTTGCGACGAGCTGATCACTCGCCCAAGGAGTCCTACCGAATGTGTATGATCTAGTAAACCGAAGTGAAACGGAGAGTTTCATGGAGGTAGGCCTAGGCCCAAATTGGGGCTGTTGCGCCACAAGGAAAAAAAAATGACTGAATTCGTATCTACAGAATGCAGTTGTTCTGTAAGTTAACATTTAATAAGGACAACGAAAATATATTATTGGCGAAGAGTTACTATTATTTGCAGATAATAAGTGTTACCACTGCACATCATGTGAAAGTACAAGATCAGAATATCTCCGAAAGAAGAAATAAAACCCTTTAAAACACCTTAGAATTTCTTGAACACAGAGTAAATAGATAATGTTTAGACAATAATATTTTCTGTTCTACTACATCGTGGGAGTGGACAAGAAATTAGCTGATATATTTCAAAATATAATTAGTCAGAAGTAATAAAATAATAACTAACTAGCTAAAACTGTGGAGCTGAAACCTTCATGAGAAACAGCACTCGATAATTTCTTAATATTTTGTGTAACCCGAAAATTCATTCCCATGTTCACAAGAACCACCCACTGGTCCTTATCCTCAGTGAGATCAATCTAGTCCACACCACCCTATCCCATATCTCTAAGATCCATTTTAGTATTACCCTTCCACTACGTCTAGGTTTTCTTAATGATCTCTTTCCATCTGGCTTTCCGAACAAACAAAGTAATATCAGAATATTTATGTTTTCAATTGTGTATTCACTTCTAAATTATAATTCACCTATGTAAGTATAGAATCATATTTCCTAGCGTTTAAATCTGGGTTTATTAAATATTTTTTTCTGTTGACGAATGGCAAAGCACATATGCATTAAAGGGGGGGCTTCCTGCCAGGAAGCCCAACAGTATAACACACGCAGTCGCAGGAGCACGACACAACAAAAGCACAACACACAAGATAGTGAAGGAGTGCTCCAACAAAGGAGAATGGGCGTGACTGACGTAGTGAGGGGCGACGTAGCGATGTGGTATCCTGAACAATTTTAATAATTTAATGTTTGACAATGTATATGATAGATACATATTTTAGTTATTTTAATGTGTGAACATGGCATGCAATGAACTGGTTGGGCGTGGACAAGTAAGCACCTGAAGATGGCATTATTATGCCGAAACATGTAGTGCGAGGGAAAGGAGATAAATGAATGTATGCACTGCAAGACGGATTAAATAAATCATGGAGCTGTAGTGAATCTGACAGGGGTTGTCCAGTGATTGATATTAGCTCTTTCCAAGGGACGTGATAGAGTAGGTGTCTCTCCTTCTCACCCGAGGAAGGAAACAGAATTAGTTTCCGAAACGTCGTGTTTTCTAGTTTACAGAACGCAGAAACGATGGACAAAGTCCGAAAACCCATTCATTCTGAAAAGTTTTACTAGCACCAAGAAAACTAAAACATGTTTATTCAGGGTCTAAATTAGTGTGTCTAAAATTAATTAATACAGACTATATAATATTTAGCCTATTTAGTTCTTGCTGGTGGTCCATTGTCTTCCTGAACTATCTATAGAATCGACGAGATTTAGGTATATATTGCCTTCTTTTCAGAAGAGTTCATATTCTGGAATATCTGTGCATAGAAATTAAAAGCGAGAAAATTCTTAATATTACATCTGACCTGAATGTGTTTGCGAAAAAAAAAATATATAATTTTGGTTAAAATTTCGGCAGTAAAATTGGCAACGAATTAACAGATTTTATCTCGTGGTTCAGTGAACCCACATACTTTTAATACTTATGGATTTAATGACATAATTTTTCAGTATATACTTACCGTGAACATAAACATTTTCTCTGCTACCAGCACAAAATGTTTCCTAAACACACTGCTACTTGCTTGTGAATGATCTGCAGAGGAGAACCGATTTACGAGTATATATACACAGACTCTTGTAGGTTGGTAAAAGGCAGAACATGCGAGGAACGCCTACCCGGCTTTGCATGACACTGTCTTATTTCATTCATACTTTTATTTTTTCTTCTGCCTTTATTATCAATACGTCAGTTACGTAAATCCACTTAGCAATGTATCCACACCTTATTACACTATTCCATTTCATTGACAAATGCCTACAAGGGAAAATAACTAAGATTTGAGGCTTTCACGGCGGTGACTATGAAGAAAAGAGTCTTCTGGGATTTGGCACCGTGTATATGTGGTGTTAACCGACGTTTCGGAGGAACGTATCGCCTCCATCTTCAGGGTAGAAGAAAAAATACNTCTTGTTTCAGCAATTTTACATTATTTTAGCAACTGTCATTAAGGAGATTTGGTATCTGACCTAATGTGGTCGTACTTATTATGTTGAGGAGCAGCAGTGAGGTGGGGGGGGGTGATTTAGCTTCTAACTTGGAGGGGCATATTAATCTTATTCTTGCTCTAATTTTTATTGCTAAAATATTCTAGACTTTCCCTTTCTCTTTGGACGTGCATAATACGTACCTAGAGAAACACAAACACGCATGCACAAGAGTGGTCACACACAACACACACATGAATGCAGAAGGGCCCCCAAGGCATATTAGTGGCAAATTAGTCCGTAGTGACAGATCTACTGCCTCAAGAAACATCCCTTTAAGGTAAGAAACAAAGAATGGAAGAAACAGCAGCCCTGGTAGTTGGCTCATTAGCTGGATATGGCTCGTAGACTGGATTTGAGGTCACTTTTTTTGAACTGAGACATAAATAATAGTGTACAAAAATATATAACAACGTCATATAAAATGTCTCCTAATCTGAAAAAAAGTACAAAATATTTTCTGTTATAAAAGTGAATTGTATTAATATAATTTAACTTGAATCTACATTGAAACATGCCATCGTATGTGCTGCATTAGTGGAATGTGACATCACTCACTCACTCATGGAGCTGAGCCCTTCTTGAGAAGCTTCCAATTGCGCAGCTACTCAAGAACTTCCCAGTATTTTATGGAACCAGAAGGTTCATTAACGTGTTCACAAGAACCCTCCACTCTTCCCCATCCTAAATCAGATCAATCCAATCAATAACATCCCATCCTATCCCTCTAGGATCCATTTTAATATTATTCACACACCAACGTCTTATTCTTCATAGTGTTCTCTTTCATTCTGGCTTTCCCACCAATATCCTATTCGCATTCATTTTCTCCCCATTCGTGCTACATATCCTGCCCATCTCATCCTTCTTGACTTAATCATTCTAACTATACTTGGAGAAAAGTACAAGTTATGAAGCTCCTCATTATGTAGTTTTCTCTAACCTTTTGTTACTTCATCCTCCTTCGGTCCAAACATTCTCCTCAACACAGTGCAATGTGACGTAAGCGGATAAATTTAATTATAATGTAAATTATATTAAGTTCGTCAGAAGTCAAGTATTCGTTGTAACATTACATATAAACCTACAAAAATTTTAATTTTACAACAAGCTGCATTTGAAGCAAAAAATGAGAATTGGGTTATGAATACAAACGCAAGTACGTAACGGCAATCCGCATGAAGTACCAGTGGGAGGGAAGTACCACCTTAATTGTGCTACTGGGTACATGAAAGTTAACAGAATTACATAACAAATTTGAAAGAAGGTCACAATTCTACAATAGATTCAGGATTGCAGAAATTCAGGTACGTGAAAAGAAAACACACTATTTGTTACTCAAACCCCCCCCCCCGAAAGAGGACAGTAGTCCCAAATAGTCTTCTTAGACTAAAATTGATGTAATTTCAAAGCTCATTAAACAAAAAAAAAATAACCAGAATTCTATTTTCTGGGATACAAAACCATGTAGTCCTTTGAAAGTCAACAGACGTTTAGGTTCAAACCTGCCTTTTGCTTGGCTTATTCTTCAACCATGAAAATGGAAGCTGTATTTCCCTCCGAGACGTAACTTTACTTTCAACCGACTACATGGCGTTATATCCAAGAAGACAGAAGTTCGTAACCATCGCTAAGAGAATCCAAAATCCTAGGCAGGAGCAAAGAGCTTCAGAGGTCATAATACGGTGTTTCAAACGGCAAATTGCAAGATTGATGAACGGCAGGTACATGGAAGGAAGCGGAATATTGTGTCTTCACTAGTGTCTGGAGGTACTGAGAATGAATACGGAATGTTCCAGACTGCACCCTTTCTAAACGAGTATATATTTCAGAGATGATACATTAGTGCTTTGTCCTTATAGAAAACTGGTCATAGGCGAATTCCATTGGAACAGACTGGACGAAGCCCGAGAACGTTCCTGGGAAATGTGAATAACGCAAATTCTGCCCTTCCTTTCAAAGGTCTGCCAAGAGGCTAATATAAAGCATTAACCAGCTCTGATAATATTTCCATTAAAATCAAAGATACAATGAAGAAATAATAATACTACTTTCATATTTCTTGTAAATATTTACTCTCAAACGACGAAAGTAATTCAGAATGTGATTATTTGGCGAAAGAATAACATTTTAATCTTATTATAACAATTGCTGTTAGCTCACTCTTATCTATATAATAATTTAATGCATACTGTCTCTTTAATTTAGTGCCCAAAGACAACTTACGTGTGTTACATTAATACAACTGTATGCATAACGAATATTTATGGCGACCTTGTCAGTAAGGAATATACTAAGGTGTCTACAAATCTTCTAAATCGAAAGTCAAGAAAAATGGATACCTTTCCTTTCGGGATGATGAAATCATAGCTAATACGTACTGTGACGTATAGACCAATGCTAGGAAACGACTAGGTAAACACATTCCTGTGGGAGCCAACGCGCGTAAAATAGGTCTATTGTTAGACAACTGATTAGTAAACACGCCTGAAACAATAAGGGAAAATAGAAAACGGTGTTTTCTTGGGCTCCGAGACTATATAACGAGGAGTTTCAAGGGGGCAGGGAAATTGTTGTCAAGGATTGGGATGACTTCTGGAGATGACAGTATTAGGCGATTGAGAAGAAATGGCAAGAAGGAATTAGACTTAAACAAGAAGGCTTCATGTCTGATTTCAAGTGAAAGGGAGACTATTGTAAATCCGTTGCCAGGATACGACTAGTGAAGACTGAGAACCCCAGTGCGTGTGTAAAGTTGAACTGCAAAGTGTGTAGATCAGCGATAGCGCTGTAATTGACTGTAGTCCCGAGGTGTGTGTATGAGACATCAATAAATGAAATCATACAATCTAGAACCAGCCCATAAGTCACGTACCCCCACAACATATACATTGTATTCCGTCTCGCTTTACAGTAATATCGAATGATTTACGTTCTTTAAACTGCACCGCATTCAGGCGTACTCTTTGTTTCCACTTGTGCCTCTATTTAATAGGAAGAACATACGTGTTGGGTTTTGTGTAGACCATAAACATCATGAAAATTTGAATTCGTCTGCATTTATGTTGTTGCTTGCATAGGTACATGTCTAGTGATCAGTTGGATTAGTTTATTGGTAACCGATAAGAACACTTGAGCAAGATTAACTAAATTGGTCAATAAGCACGCCTCCTGGATTCACGTTGCTATGACAATATTTTGAATATTTCAATTAATACTCATAATATTATAGCTCAATTTCAGGTGTGCATGTATTTTAATATTCACAGAATAATAACAAGAGACGTAGCCTGTGCAGAAGACTCCAATCTCTCTGACCTACCAGCATTATGCCCATGAGGCCTAAGGCGCTATAAAATTCCTTGTGATAACCCGCCAACATTCATACACATGGATCTTGGCATATGAAACTGTGTGTCTAGGTCGGCTCGTCATGCGTTTTGCTTTCGCCCAGTCCGTATATCCGCATATAGCAATTCAATAATATTTCAAAATGTTTTCATTAAATTTTATATTAGCGATGCACAAATGTTTGTTGGTGCATGTCAGGTTTTTATAAATCTAAAAAAAAAATAACGGAGACTTCACATGGAAATATACAGAATTTTTGCATTTATGTCGACTGTAACTAAACAAATATTTATTTTTCTTGTATATTGATGCACTAGTCTCCCTGGTCTGTACATATCCAGAATTAATTAATTCTGAAATTTGAATTTTGTAGATTTTGTAGAATTCCTTGAGCTGGTGATCAGCCAATCTCAAGGCCGTTACCTACATAAAATCACAGGATATATGCAGACAGACTTCCATGCCTCGAGTGGGATTCGAAACCACGATCCCAGTGTTTCAGCAGACGAAGATATCTCGTGCCTTATACAGCGCGGCAATTTTAATCGGCGGCTAAATGTTTATTCAAGCTAAAACTGCTTCAAATTATTGTTGCGTAGGAAACCACAACAAGTATTTTATGAAAGACATAGTTTTCGTGCATATCGTAAGATTTTCACAGCTGTTAAATAAAAGAAAACGAATTTTTTTAAGTATAACAATGGGAGTATATGTCTTCCTTTGTCGTATTAAAGGTTGAGAGGTCTTCTTCTATGAAGACGATTATTTATCATGCTCCCTATATATATATATATATATATGTGTGTGTGTGTGTGTGTGTGCGTGCGTGTGTGTTCTTCTGTGTGAAAGAAATGTAAGTTATTTTATTCGATTCCTGAAAACTTCTAATTCCTGGTCGTTCGCCTCACTCTCAATAGAAGAGCAAGTTGCGACTTTTGACTCCTCAATTAGTTTCCTGCTTCTTAAGAATTATTCACAAATGTAGAAGTGTAACAATGACGTGTTTCTTCTTGAACGCCTCATTCAGTTTCAATGACTTCACATTTTCAGTGATGTTAGAAGACAGGTGTAACTAGGAAACCAGCACGACACAAAATTACTGCATTTAAATCAGTTCCCTTAAGGAAAACTCACTCCACTCAGCGAGGTGAAAGGTAAAGACATACAACCAGGCACGAACTATATGTGGTTCTTACGACTAATGAACTAGCCTAAGAAACTTCAAAGGAACGGCTTGTACAGTAGTTGGAATTTTAAGGTTAATTTCTCCTGATTCATTTAACTGTCAGTTTACATTTATCTCTATTCATTTTAAAGTCATGAACATGTTCGTGCGCCGGGTATGTATTCGCTTCAGTTCGGTCAACTTTCGGTTTTTTCCTATGGATGACGTTAGGAAGGCCTTGAGTGTAAAAACATTCAGAAAGTACTTTTTTATTTTTCACGTTCTCCGAGTTCTGGTTATATAATAAACAAATATAAGCCAATGTTTTTCATAAGGAGTTCAAGTAACAATAGCAAATTACAAAATTAATTTGGTTGTTGATTACAGAACCCAGTAACAAATAAAACACCGAGCAGTAGACCGCGACGGAAAACAATTGTAGTAGAAACAGGACAACGAAGGAACCTATTGGCCAATACGAGCACTGTTGATTGAAACTTTATTGCCGGATTAAGTACTTGAAACAGCATAATCTGTATTAGTTACGAAATGATAAGAACAGTCCGCGCGGAACTTTTTTTTCTCCTCCTGCTCATACTTTGGAGTATAGGGCTGATTTCTCAGTTTCATGATCATTTTACAGACGGTAGGACTCCTTGGACGCATGATCAGCTCGTCGCAAGGCCTCTACCTGTACATGGGATAACACAAACACATAATAAACGCATACACACCAAACATCCATGTATTATGTGGGATTCGAACCCACGATCCCGGCTTCCGAGCGAGTGAAGACAGTTGATGCCTTAGACGGCTCGGCTACCGTGACCGGCAGCGCGGACCTTAGCTGCTTCGTATTCTCGATGTCCGTGTTCATATCTCGACGCGGAGATCTGAAATCCTGCTTGAAGACTTGGCGGTTTTCTCTGTTCCGCCATTAAAATATTAAGGCAGTTCTTATACTTCGATATGGTTTTTTCTTTCTGTAACTTTAGTCATTCATTCATTCCTTGAATTTGTCATTAAATGCTCTATGATCATATAGATGAATTGGACAAAATAATGCAAACACTAAAAATACTGTTTTTTTTCCTGTGGCGCTACAGCCCCAATTTGGGCCTAGGCCTACCTCCATGAACTTCTCCGTTTCACATCGGTTTACTAGATATTACACATCCGGTAGGACTCCTTGGGCGGGTGATCAGCTCGTCGCAAGGCCTTTACCTGTACAGAAACAGAGAAAAACGCACACTAAACATCCATGCCCCGAGTTGCCAAGCGAGTGAAGACAGTGCATGCCTTAGAGTGCTCGGCTACCATGACAGGCATAGTGTTTATTATATTGTTAAATTATTGTAATTACTGCGTACTAGATAAGAATGGTAATAACAGATTTACTAACATGCCGTTATTCTTATTATTAAGAATCTTGCATCAAATTCCACTGTATGATGATCTTCAAGTAGTCTTCCTTGACGATAAGAGATAAGTGATTTAAATTCTAGTGTATAAATAAAACAAATTAAACTCCTTGTTTTTAGTCCGCATGCGAACTATACCGACCGAGAGACCGCCGCTTGTCGGCGAAGTTACTGCCAACTTTAGAGGATAGAAGGTGTAGCGTGCTCAGCGCAACGAATCCCCATGACCATTAATTTCGGTTTTCTAGACCGGAGCCGATATTTCATTGAAAAGGCTCTTCAATTATCCTCACTAGGCTGAGTGGACCCCATTCCAGACCCACTATTACTCAGAAAATCTGGTAGCGCCGGGAACCGAACCCGGACCTTCGGATCTGTATCCAGGAAATAACTGATTATATACAAGTTTCATTCCTACATTGATGTTAGGTGAAGACATGCAAGAAAATGGATTTATGTCTGTATATGATAAAATGAAATGTAGTCCATTGAAACTTTTCCCTTCAATGGCCACAAATCTTCTTCGTTTGTGGACTGAAATTTGGTCGGGCCACAGAAAATGAAGCGACACTTCCTAACCCCTACATTTCTCTGTTCTAGCAGTTAAATGCTCCAGGTCACCTCGCTTTGGTCCAGACCTGTCCGTATCCGTTACTCTATCTGCTCATGCGCAATGTCCACTCCACGTGTTATCAACTCTGCATTTGATACAGTGTCTTATACTTACATGTATTTCTTATGGTTTATTTAGGGACGCTGATAGTATCTCAGGTTACATAACTTCAAATGTTCGGATATTAATAATGGGAAATGGGAAAAATATGTAAGAAAGCGGCTGTGATTTGATTTGAAGTAACTTTCTGGAATTTTCCTCGGGATTGGGGGAGAAACTGAATAAAAATAAAAACATCGGTTCTCATAATCGGTTGTAGTCCATATTCGAATACGGTGGCTCCAGAGTACGGATTATAAGCATCACCATTTTAATTATATTGCTCCAAAATTTCATTTATTTATGAAAGAATATAAATTCTCACAGACATAAACCACCCCCGTGCTGAGAAAATGAGAATAAACCATGTGCGTAAATAAATTCCTAATGGGAAGCTGTAAATAAAGATATGATAATATTTAATTGTATTCCACATTGATATATGCTTTTCTCAATTGAAGAGTTCTGGCAGTGTTAATAATAACCTCCATATGCGTGTCGAAGACGTTTCTTGGCATGATAATTGGCCGTGAATGGCCCACCGTAGCCATGCGTTGGAGCTACACTGTGAGATACAGGCGGAGTGCTGAAGGCGTCGTTGTGAGATCCGACATAATCAGGAGACAAGCCCGGAGCAAAAGCATATGAACTTCCGGCAACAACTCCTCCTGGGCGAGAATTGGAGTATTTGTAGTGCTGCATATACGAGAAAAGGGGAGATACATGGGACTGGTCTGGAGCATCGTGGGTTCTGAGTGTTGTAACAAGATGTCGGCTGTCTCCGTGTCGAGTCACGACGGCGTTGAATCCGTTCCTGTCATCAGCGGAATATTGGACTGTACGGGTGGTGCCGTCAGGTTCAACTACACTGTAGTGTCCATCAACTTTGTCGCCAACGCGTCTCTCGGCTTGTTCTTTGATGTCATTGGTTTGTGCATCATTAACATCATAACTATACTCATAATTCGGTTCTACCTGAAAATTGTTCATTAGTATTAGTATCGTCATGCATTATTACATGGGTAAAGGACATATGTAACTCAGTTTGTATAAATATTGAGTTTCTGAACATTATCCTGTTTCTGCCTAAACACCGACCTGTTTATGTGTTAAAACACATTGGATTCTGTCTCCGTCTTTAGGAAAAACCTACATATTTAGGCTCTAATCTCCGGAGATAAGGACTAACTCTATCAATTAGGCCTAAATGAGCAGGTTTGCCCGAAAACGGAGACAGAATTTAGTCTCCGAAAAGTTGTGTTTTGTAATATAAAGAGAACAGCGTTTTCAGATAAAGACAGGGCGATGGATAATGCCCAGATATATATGTAATATTTTTACTAACGTACCACCGTGAAGCACAATAGATCACAGTAGCTCGCGGTGCAAGGGCCGAGAAGCCCCACCCCTTATATTGTACAACATACCACCGTCACAAACTTTTAGATTTTAAAATCAACTACGTTGTTTAGGTGATGTTATGCAGAGGACAGCCAGTCTAAGGCCAAATTTTTACTCACGTAATTATGAAGAGTATCGTAAACATGATGTGCAGACCCCCGAGAATGCCCAAAACGTGAAGCGTGAGTGTAGCCGAGATTTTCTGTATCTTCACGAGCATATTCTGCAATCGCCGCACGAGCATATCCTGCATTCAAAGCACGAGCATATTCTGCATTCATGGCAGGAACATATCCCAGGTTTGTGGCACGACCGTAGCCAAGATCTTGGGCGTAAATTACACCTGCCTGGGCTGAGCGTCCGTAAGAGGACCTGTCATAGACAGGAAGTGCCAGAATATCCGCGATCAACGCCGTCAACACCACCACCTATAGAAAGGTTCATTACGTTAGGAGTACGTGTCTATGCAATCACTAGCGCTTTTGGTGCAACATTGGAAAGAGAAACTTTATTTTTAACGTGCTAGTTCTTAAGTAGACGACTGTTATCATTTAATTACAGTTCGTTGAATAAATATAAACGATTAGGAAACATGACGTAGAAAGAAGTGAAAAAAAAAAACTGAAAGTGGATCGGCTTGAAAAGAAAATGTGCTACTTTCAGCGTAACTAAAAATGTGTCTGAAAAAAAAATACTTCTTTACATTGGTACTCATGCACTTGGTTTTGTTGGCTAGGTTTGTAGCACAAATTTATATTTCCTTTTCTAACCTAGTTCCACGTATGTGCGTGCTCTATCGCAAACTTTATTGAATGTTTTATTGTTATCGCCCGCCGAATTGGCCTGGTCTTAGGTGATTAAATAGCCTTGTGAATCTGACAGGGGTTGCCCAGTGATTGAGGTTAGCTCTTTCTAAGGGACCCAAAAGAGGTGTCTTCCCTCTTTTCACCTGAGGACGGAAGCATTTCCAGTCTCCTAAACGTCATGTTTTCTAGATAATTATATTATATTTTATAACTGCAAATGGGTTTCCCCTGTTGCAGTGGTACTACAATAAGACGCAACACACAAATAACACACATCACACAAAATAACACACCACGGGCAAACAAAATAGAGCACAAAAAACACTACACAAAGAATGAAGGACACACTAAACACAATGAATACAATGCAAACACAATTACAATACAGATGATGGGAAAAAAATCCCAAAACAGCAATTCTGAGTAAAAATATACCCATATTGTACTTGCGTTTTTTCAGCTGCTGTGTGAAATGTCCTTCAGAGTTGCCGCCTTATTAATCCTGATGTCATCAATGCCATCAAAATACCTTCCTTTCAATATTTCCTTTACCTTCGGGAACAAAAAGGAGTCACTGTTGGCTAGATCCGGTGAAGAGGGAGGGTGTTCTAGCATAGTTATTTGTTTATTAGCTAAAAACTCCCTCTTCGGTGAGCTACTTTGGGGCCATTTTTGCACACACACCCTCCTCATAGCAAGATCTTCAGCTAAGATTTCCCTAACTGTTTCTCGGTCAATGTCCGGTTGCTCTGCTATGCTCCAGACAGTCAAATGACGATTTTCTCGCATAATTTGATGAACTTTTGCAAAGTTTTCTTCAGTTCTGCTCATTTTTGGGCGTCCTGAACTCTCTTCGTCAGTGACACTTTCTCTTCTCTCAGAAAAACGTGTCACCCGCTTGTAAACTGCTGTTTTCTTCATAGCATTATCCCCGTAAACTTGCACTAACATCTCTCTGATTTCGTTTCCACTCTTGCCAATTTAACAAGAAGCTCCGACAGTCTCGCGACGGCACAACAAAACACACTCAGACAATAATAGACGCCATCCAGAAAGAGGATGCCATAGTTTAACAACGGCACAGCTGTGAAACTCTGATATGCCAAAGTCTTCAAACCATACTGAGGTTTCTGTTCACTGTTGCCACTGCATGCACAAGGTGGCGAGATCGCGAACTTCATTGTCAAATCTCGTACATGTCCATAATCAAAATTAATATTCCTGTGTTTGGAGTGCCAAAAAAGAAATATAATATAAATCTTGATTATTTAGCTCGATTGAACGTTTGATCATATAATAAATCTCTATCCATATCAGCTTATTATTAAAATGACAGAATCATATCAGTAGTGTTTATTTCGCAATTGCACTAAATTTTATGCTGTTTTTCTTTTATTACGACAATACGTATCACACACAAGAGTAAAGGTAATATTATAATTTCAAGCGAGAATTACATTTTCTAAAATTATGTATGCTGAACAGTAGTATCCAAATCGGGTTTGTAGTTGAGAAATATAAGAACAGAAAATACAAATTTGTTTTTGCTGTCCATAATATTGTGTTTTCAATTGTTTCTTTAAAAAATGTTGAGCAGACTTACTTTCTTCTAAAGCCTAGAAAACAAGAAACTCACTATCGCCATGTAAGGCCTGAGTTTATAAATGTTTCTGATCCTACCGTCTCTTCATTACAACTACACTTCTGACTCTATAATAAATAATCGTCACCATCCAATACTAGAGGATGGCTCTTGTGAACACGGTAATGAACTTAACGGTTCTATAAAATTCTGGGAAGTTCTTGAGTAGCTGCACAGCTCCTGCTTCTCAAGAAGGGCTCAGCTCCATGAAATTAGATTAAATAGTTCATTTTCCTATTCGGGAAAAATATCTTTCAGTGAAGCATTACTTATATTTTCTGTTCATTAGTTCCACTGAACTCTTAATAATGAAGAACATATTTTGTTTCATAGCTTCATAACAAACAATACATTAGCGATTCTAGTACAGTATATGGCTTCGGGTAACGCATTAAACTAAGGTTTCCATATTTTGGGGGGCAAAAATATCGTGTAACTAAATTTATGATTGTGAATTAATTGACATATGGATGATCTAAGGGAATGTATGGTTCGTGTTCAGATCTAAATTTTTTAAAATATTTCCGAACAACACTTTCTTTAAATTTATTTTATAAAAGTTATAGTTGAAAAGCTCTTGCCTTAAAATTACTCATCTTTCCTCGCTGTGTCGCCGTGGTTGTTTCGAATGCTGCCTTCTCTGTGATAACAGAACAACCATACCTATCTTATATATACACTGAATCCTCATAATTTACTGGCAAAAGTACACAGCACTTTTTTTTTCTGGTTTGTAGGATTGGAATTAATTTTACACCCAGTTCTCCTATATGTTCTAATATCAGGTTACAGGAACTATCCATAAACATTTCAATATAAATATGAAGGTCAGCCGTAACAGCTCTGTCTCCCACAGCATCGCACTCCTGACGCAATTCTCAGTTCGTGATAAGAAAATGAAAGGAATTTATTACATTAAAGGAAATGTCTGATAGCTAACAAATATCGTAAGACCTGTACTTTATAAAAACAATACTCGGGACTAAAGTACAGGGTACGGAAGATGCATTACATCATCCGAAGGAGTAGAATTCTGTTTCTTGTTGCCGATAAATTCCAAATAACTTCTAACTGACTCCATGGAGTTGAGTCTTTCTTGAGACGCGAACAGTCCCTCAGGTACTCGACATTTTATGGAACCCGAAAGTTCATTACTGTTTACTCAAGAGCCGGCCAGTAGTTCCTATCCTGAGCCAGATAAATCGAACTCATTCCACTCACCCTATTTTCTTGAGATCTAAGCCGGTATAGCGAATGACAATGGGCTGCACGACCAAAGGATCAGATTTCGAATGCTGGTAGGGTCAAGAATTTTCTCTACTCCACGTCGTCCAGACCGGTTCTGGGGCCCACCCATCCTCACAGCCAATGGGTAACGGGGGGCCTTTCATCAGAGGTAACCCGGCAGGGGCGTCAAGCTGACCACTCACGTCCAAATCGTTACCTAGAAATGGCTGACCCAACCGCCGGCTAACAATGGACGTTTGCTGCGACTTCGATATCCTGGATTTTAGGCAAGATGTCAAAATATTTTAAATTTAATTTGAAAGGCTGAAGATCTGGTGTTCACCATAACCGGTACTCTCCCATTCACTTCATATTATTTCGGTTAATGACTGACTTTAATTTGTCCTCACATAATGTTCTTTAATATTATCGCCTGCATTTAGTAGCTAACTTATCAAGATTGAGAATCCTAAAGTATCTTATTGTACTCCCCCTCGAAACGCAGACATCTTGTGAATGTTTGGAACTGGTCCCCACTCAGAGTTTTGTAGTCTGCCAACATTGTAATCACGGCATCAAAGAGATTTTGTGTTACCTGCTACATTTATATAAGCGTTACAAAGCTTTAATTTACGTCAACATTACTACACAATCTTAGCTACTTATGGCTCTAGATCTCTTGGGCACTTTAATAGCTGGTTCGAATCCCGCTGAGGCGTTATTTTGTGTCGGAATTTCTACTGTTGTCTGTTTCCGTGTGCAAGATGAGGCCTCTTGACGAATCGGTCTGTTGTCCAAAGAGCTGTAAAAAATGTCGAATTATTTATAATTTTTAATATTGTCAAGTGTATCAGTGTCTAATTGTGTGGCGATATAACTTCCTCTTCATTTTTCAATCCAATAATTCGATCCAATCCTTCAAAGAATCCAATTCAACTTCTGACAAGAGTTGTCACGTATGTTAGTGACTACAGACGGGGTTCGGATTGGTAATTGGATTTATTGACTACACACAAGTCGTAACTACAACCAAGTGTAACACTGTAACTGATTTTCACAGTACAAAGCACTCAACCCTAATCTTCTCATTCTATTTCCTCTAATCTTCACTATCCGTTTCCTGGCAACGGATATATAACACAGGAACTATAAGAGTCTCACTAAATCGCGCACTCCCAATACTACTGCACTATAGCACACATAAAGTCTTCGATCCACACGTTAAGTTTAAACAGGCCGAATTATAATTCTCCTAAGACGAATTTCCAGCTGCTCAATCTCACTGACAGCTCTCCTGGAATGCCTTCTCTTTAAATTCACATTGCGACTGACGGTCAGTCAGCAAGCAAGTCTTGGTGTCGAGCCCCATCTGGGGCTCATGACCAGCTATTATTAGTCTTTGACAGTTACGGTCTTGATTTTGTGGGGCGCCCTCTCTAACGAGAAGACGTCTCTGTCTTTTGTATATGCTGCTGGTACTAGCCAGGGCAATCTTTCTCGGGTCCGTGTACCTTGGGGTTCGCGACCATATTTTACTGTCTTAGATTTGAGACTTCCCCTTTCGTCGCCCCCTTCGACTCGCAGGGTCGCGGTGGGGGTATTTGACCTACCCTCCACACGGGTTACTGCGTTCTCTTTATTTTACGACTGTCGGTTTAACGCCAATCAGTTCATCTTGGTGCCAGGCCCCTTGAGACTCACGACCAGAGAATTTTTCCAACTGAATTCTTCCGGTAATAGTCCTTATGTAACATCATCTCTGACGAGAAGATGAATTTGTCTCTTATGAATACGCTTCGCCTTTCGTCAAGAGTATATTTCTCACATATAGCATGTTACTGAAAATCTTTCAACATACAAGTTCTCTGTCAGTACAGGCTTCGGCACGGACTCGACAGAAAGCACATATCGCTTGTCAGACTGCGAGTTTATTGGTCGTTTACCAGCACTGGATGTGGCGCGGACGACATAGAATAGCCTCATATATCGTTGCGTGATAAACCGTATTTTCGGAGCCGTTGCCTGACAATGAGTTGATCAAATCCGTTACAATTTGATAGAGAGCCTACTCCTTGAAGCTAATTACTCTTTGTAGGTCTGATATGAATTCATATACTGACGTTAATATAATAAGGTAAAATACAACAATATTACCTTTGTAAACCGGAATAATTTATAATTTATATAAACGGTTCGGTGAATAGTTTCCCTCTGAAATGAACACACAGGCAGCAATAGAATAACTGATGTTTCCGTGCAAGGACGAGGTAAACATACCTTTATAACAATAGAACATTTGTTAGGAAATGGCGTTTTCTGTTGTGGCCGACCCGAGGCTATGTAATGAGGATTGTATCACTGGCCACCGAATGATAACTGAGGAAATCTTTTGAGACGGCAGTCGAAGATGATTGAGAAGAGATGCAACGAGTTAAGTTGCGACCTGAAAGTCAGCCTGTGAAGATAAAACTTAGCAAGTGATTTGAAGACTTAATATATGCTGTAGAAAGTTGGTACTAACTTCGCCGACAAGCGGCGGTCGCTCGGTCGTATAGTTCGCTTGTGGACTAAAACCACAGAATTTTTATATATGCTGTAGTTACAGTGAGACCGTTATAAATCCGTTACCATGATAGGACTAGTGAAGAGTGAGAAGGCTTAACGTGTCTTAGTGTATTGTAAAGTGTGGAGATAAATGGCAGAGCTGGAAGATGTTTAGAGTTGTGTTTAAAAGTGGTCAATAAACGCATTTACAAGTCAGAAACGCATCTGTAGTCACCCCCTAAATACGTGACAGCCGGCTCGCTTGTCCTCATCTATACGGAAAAATATTAGTGGACGGTATAAGTCAACAAAGTTATACTTCCATGTTAAGGTACTTCGGCGTGTCCTCCGTATCTTTCAAGACCTGTGGCTGCTCACGCGTTCCTACTGTTACGTGGAACTCTGGTAAGTCGTGTCGAAGCTGCGCGAACGTGAGAGGCTGTACCAAGTTCCATGTTACGTAATATTATATAACTTGTCATAGCACTGTTTTAACTAGTCTGATCACTTGCCCGGCCCTTCTGTCCTTATTTAGAAATGTACCTCACGTCAGTATTGGCCGACACTCGTGTTACTATAGTTGACCCCACGGAGCTGAGTCTCCCTTTAAAAGCTAATAGTCGCTCTTGTGGCCAAAAATTCTCCATCACTTATGTGACCCGATGTTCATTACCGTATTCACAAGATCATGCTGGTGATATGTATTGTATAGCTGATGAAACCAGTCCACATTTTAATCCAATGATCAATTATATTATTAACTTCCTTTCGCGCAATTACATCGTATTTCATTCTGACATGCTTGCTACATGCCCATCTTCGAAGCCGTGGATGCTACATGCTCCGTCCATAGCCTCTTCCTTGACTTTATTGCTATTAACGTTTGCCGAAGAATGTAAATCATGAAGTTTTCAGTCAGTTCTCTTCAGCCTCCAATTATTACATTTATATGTACATATTCTCACCAGAACCCTGTTCTGAAGCACAACCACTCACACACAAAATCTACATTTTCAAACATTTTACAAAGCTTCATTTACTTTGTGTCTACATAAAGTATGGGGCACGCAGTAGCATAGTTGTTTGAGGCACTATGCTACAAGACGGAAGGTCGAGGTTTCGAGTCCCAGTGAGGTGGATTTTTTCAATTGACCTAATCCTTCCAGCCGCAATATAGCCCTGAGGTCGACTCCGTCTCTAACTGAAATGAGTACCAGGAATTTTCCTGGGAGGTAAAGGCAGCCGGAGCTTAAGGCTGATAACCTCATCGCCATCTGTGGGCCGACTGTCTAGAAAATGTGGGAGCCTCAAAGTCTCACCACCCTATGGGCCTCCATCACCTGTTACAGGGAGGCGGCTTGCAAATGAGAAAACAATTTATGTAGATAAAATTATTATGTTGCCAGTGTCGGGAACAAATGCAAATTCCAGTGTCGTAATACTGATAACAATAACGTATGAAATGAGTGAGATTAGAGCAACGACTGTGGCCAATGTATGACGTCATGTTTGAACTACTAATAGACTCCAGAACAAGTTGGTCTCTGACATTAAGGGAGTAACACAGACTGAGGGTGTTTGAGAACAGGTGTTGAGGAGAATATTTGGACCGAAGAGAGATGAAGTGACAGGAGGTTGGAGAAAACTGCATAATGAGGAGCTTCATAACTTGTACTCTTCTCCAATTATAATTAGAATGAACAAGTCAAGGATGATGAGGTGGGCAGGGCATGTAGCACGAATGGGGGAGACGAGGAATGCGTATAGGATATTGGTGGGAAAGCCAGAAGGAAAGAGACCACTGGGGAGACCAATCTGTTGGTGGGTGGACAATATTAGAATGGATCTTAGAGAGAT